AAATTGCCCTGCGTAAACTTTTCAAACACCTTGAGATTTTTATTTTCTTTTTCCGCCAACGTATCTTCAGTTTGGATAAACAACACTGTGAAGGCAATCGGCGACATCTTCAGTTTGGATAAACAGCACTAGAGCCGTAGAATTAGCTGATCAAGGAGCACCTTCAGTTTGGATAAACAGTATTGCTTCGAACAAGGATTTTCGAGTCCTTGTTGGTAGAGGTCATCTCATCAGCCTTCTCGGCGAAATGAGGTGTTACAGGTTACTACATTCGGCACATTGAAAGTCGAATTTGATATTTGAACTTCGCATAACTAGCAGCCTTGTCTTTAGGCTCTAGAACCTGAAGGCCGAGACGTGTTCCTTCCTCAGCCGTAGTCGTGAGATCAAGAAGTCAGCAGCGCGCCCAATGCCACATCAACATATTTCACTCTCCGGCCGAGCTTGGCCAACGAGTTGGCACACCCCACACGTAATTGAAGGACGTAGTTAGCTCATTAGTTACTCGGTCTGTGCGCCACGTAGGCTTGGTAGTTTTTAGGGTTAATAGTGACACATCACTTAGTTTGCGAATTTTATTTACAAATGTAGTCTACATAACATTACCACTTTACACTGGGCTAGAGCCATTCTAGCCTGGGGGTGACTCAGCCCTTGTGTGTGGAGTTTCTAGGTAGTGGACTAAGTGGATGAATATAAAGCAAAACAATTGTAATTTTAAGTAGTTAAGATTATTTATCTTCTATTAAGTTATGTGATCGATTTTTCTCATCTCTCCATAGTGGTTGCATAGAAAAGAAAAACATATATATTTGATACAAAACTAATTCAAAACTGAACAATATGAAGATGACACATGCAAAATCTAGAAACTCTCGAAGGCAAAGAAAGTTGATAAGTATACAATGAAATTATATGCCAAGACTTTGTCTTATCTTTGACCAAATTTCAGGTAGGCATAGCACACCTAACACTAAACATGGACCAAAAGGATGTGACTTTAATAACGGAGAATGCTATATCTCCATATATACATGTTTGTCTCAGCTAAAGAAATCGCAATACAAGTACCACCAACTTCTCTTCATATGCTTTTGAGCAATAGATTTGGTTAACCAACTCTGACATTGAAAAGCCAACTGAAAGTCAAATACATAAGGTATGACATGGTGTCAAGTATTTAAGGGTATTTAACAACTAACATGCATGTCAAATCTGCGAGCATGTTTTAATTCTACAAATTTGTAAAGGGTGATGTTAGTCAGATTAAACTTTTGCATTATTTTTTTGTAGGTTATATAATTTGGTCGTTGATGATTGGTCTATTTTTTTAAATTATTAAAAAAGAAATCAACTATCGACCATTACATCATATGATTTACATAAGATAATATAAAATTTTGGTTTTTCTAGCATTTTCTATTTAATAAGCACTTTTTTTATGGTTTAGAAAACCTTTTTTTTTTTGGGTATAGAATGCCTTCTCGATCTTCAACTTATATTACTAATTTTCTCAATTAAAACTAAACATTGGGCTAAATTAGAAGAAGATATAGCTTAGATAATAAAGGCAACTTTAATAGAAATGTAGTAAACTAGGTCCTGTTTGCAAAATGATTCATAATTATTTCTCAGAGAATCAAATAAGGGGTGTTTCTCCACAAAATATCTCGAAAAAAATTTGGAGAAATACTTCTCATGTGCATCTTTCCAGAAATAATTCTGACCTTCCTATAGTCACTTCCAAATATCCCTAATTAATCAAGTTTAGTTGGAGTGAAATTTTAAAGAAGCAAATTTCTACTCTTCATATTGCCACGTAGACAAGTAAAGTAAAATTCTTATATATAACATGACATAGATGAATGGTAATGCTCACATAAACTATGATATATGAATATAAATTGTAACATATATTAAGGCATAAATTGATATAAAATTATAGATGACGGAGTAGTGGAAGAAGATTCATGAAGCAGGAAGGAAACTTAATAGGAAAGGCGTGATGAATGATGTCATGACATAAAATAATGGTGTGAAAGTAGGAAGCTCACACTGAAGGAGCATCGCAAGCACAACCACTGTGGATGTTGATGGATATGGACCGCGTAGATTTTCTAGTAACCCACTAGCTAGGGATAACTCACTACTTTGGCTACTTGGCTTGCACGTTTCCTCCGTCGACATCTGTTATTTGTGTGCCTTCTTCAGCGAGTAGCTTCTTTTCTTCTGTTGACTCGCTTGTTCTTTAAGAATATAGTTGCTTTCGCAGTTCACATTCGAACCTCGACTCGACTCAGCATTCTCTGTCCACGCGCTGTGATGTAGATTTTTATACCACTTAGACCATTTTTAATGGTTGGGCTAAAAGCCAAATTTTTTAGCTCGAAAAATTTAGCTTTTAGCCCAGAAATAGCTTTTCTACTCCAACCGTTTTAACCTAAAATTTTAGCCCAGGATTATTAAAGAATGAATTTAGGCTTTTTTTTTTGTTAACTTAAATTTAAAAAAATAAATAAATATGTAGACTATCGTAAATTAATTTTATGAACATTTTAATCTAAAAAAATTTAAATTTCAATAAATATTGGGTGGAGTCCACTCCAATTTCTGGACTAAATTTTGGGGGGAATTTGGCCTTGGTTTAGCATTTAGCATTTAGCCCAAGGGTTGGAGTGGGTTTGAGAGGAAATTTTGGAGGATAATTTAGCTTTTCGTCCACCATTAGAGTTGGTCTTATATGCTATACGCTGATGAGGACTAATTGGATTAGATAAAGTAAACAAAATTATGTTGGATAGACTTTCCGCGTCTAGAACTCAGAAGATTATTTTTTATTGATATATTTTGAGCGAGACATATCGAATTTTTTTTTTTACAAACAATATTATTTGCACTAAACGGGTGTGAGAGCAAGTTAAGTCTCATAATGGGTTAGCAATAATGTGGTTTAAATTCAACTTTGGTGATAATCGAACCTAAGATCTCCCACTAATAAATAAAAAAGAATACCAATAAAGACATATCGACTTTAAATGACCACATTTATTGTTACCTGTAGAAATGAATATATCACATGGTCCGTTTTCTTGATATCCATAAAATTTTCCCCTTCTTATAGTTTGAATTTTCTTCACGATAGGCAGAAAACCTTTTGGTAGACCAGATTATTATGGGAGTTTTAACGAAAAGCTCGTGGTACTGTTCACCTTAACGAAAAACCACATTTTTACATTATAAAGTCAATCCTGGTACCATTCACTTTACCCTTTATTTTGTCTTTATCGTTAAAACTCAAAATTTTCAAACCCTTTTCATTAGTTTTCTTTATTATCAATTGGTGAAGAGCTTTTAATTAAAAACTAGATATTCAAATAAACTGAAGGCATATTCAAGTCTATTTAACTGAAATTTTGTTCGACAAAAAAAAAAAAAGTAAAAAAAATTGAAATTTTGACTATATTTAAAAGTCTTTATAAAAATTGATAGGGTTAGTCTCAATTAGTTTCTTGATTTTCAACATTTCGTATATCAAGTTTTTTTCATCCCAGTCTAGTACCTAAAGTTAAAATTTTAGGACACTTTTATACATCCGTTAAGTTTTCGGTCAGAACCTCTAATGACGTGGTGTCTATATGGACAATGACTTGGCACCATGTGTCAATTTGGACCCACTTAAATATTAAAAAAATTAAAAACCTAAAAAATTAAAAGTTAAAAAATATATTTTTTTCCTTCCTCTTCCTTTCTTCCTCTGTCTCTCTTGAAAACCCGACAACCACCAACCTTTACCCATAACCCAACCCCGTGAACCACCGGAAATGGGTCCCAATCAGAGACCAAGAGAGAAAAATGACAGCCACCGCCGACCACAATGCAGAGCCTCCCCGCCCAATTCCCAACAACCCATCGGTCGCGTCGGCACTTCTTTCTCACTTGCTTTAGTGAGAGATCAGCGGCTTCGAGGAGCAGCGAGAAGTAACAATTTTTAGGTTTTCGAGCGAGGCGGCGTCAGGTCGAGGCGAGTGGTAACCGGTTCCCGTTGATGAAGAGGACCGGGTTGCAGTAGTCGAAAGGTGTTGATGCTGAGGCTAAGAGATCTGTGGAACAGAGCAAGAAAGGAAAAGGAAGGAAAAAAAAATAATTTTTTAACTTTAAATTTTTTAAGTTTTTAATTTTTTTAATTTTTTAAGTGAGTTCAAATTGATACGTGGGGCCAAGTCATTGTCCATATAAGCGTCACGTCATTAGTTAACGGAATTTCTAACGGAAACTTAACAGATGTTTGAAAGTGTTGTAAAATTTTAACTTTAGATACCAGACTTGAATGAAAAAAAACTTGATGTATGAAATGTTGAAAACCAAGAAACTTGTAGTAAACTGAGATTAGCCCAAATAGATATTTTTTAAATTAAAGGGTATTTTTGTCTATATCTGATAAATTACATTATCATAGATTTAATACGAAAATAAATACTCTATTTTCACAAAAAAATAATAACAAATACTCAATTTATTATAAATTGTTCATGAAAAACTACAGTATTAAATATTAAAAATTTATAAATACTTTACCACTCAACTTTCCGCACACCTACATTTAAAACTTATTTGTAAACCCCAAAGAGATTATGAAAAAGAAAAGGACTAGTTTATGTTGGACACGCGCCTTGGATGCGTGTGACCATGGATACAGAGTAAACGACCTAGAACGTTCGGCAAATTCCAGAGTTTTGACCAACAAAAATATAACATTCCAGAGTTCCAACCGATCGCCTCAACAAAACGACCGCTTCGGGAAGCCTTAGTACAGCAACGCGGTGACGCCATCGGAACCTAATACTGACGGCGCTAATCACAATCACAACTCAAATTTAAAACACTTTAACAAAATTATCCAAACTGTTCCGTTACTTAACCCCCAAGACTTCCACCACTTCGCTTACTCCGTACGCCACAAGGCTGCAAAACATGCCTCCCTCCTATAAATACGTCCCCTCTACCTTCCCAACTCTCATTCCATCCACTTCGAGCATCAGCAAGAACAACCTTAAAAGTTTCGAAAACACACACACAAATCTCATCCACTTCCAAATCTTTCCTTTCCAGCTTACTTCTTCGCTTCGCTCCTGCGAGCTGAACCCTAAACCCGAAACCTTAAACCCGTCAGCCATGAAGAGAAGCAGGCAAGACGAGACCTTAGACTTGGTCAATTGCCTAATGCTTTTGTCCAGGGAACCCGATTCCTCCCCAATCAAACACGAGAACATGAAAAAGGACCGAGTTTTCGTATGCAAGACGTGTAATCGGGAGTTTCCCTCGTTCCAGGCCCTCGGAGGCCACAGAGCGAGTCACAAGAAGCCGAAGCTGATGCCCGGTGGGGCTGCCAACCTTTTACATTTGGCACAGTCGCCGGGGTCGCTGGTTAAGCCCAAGACGCATGAGTGCCCGATTTGCGGGCTTGAGTTTGCGATTGGGCAGGCGCTTGGAGGACACATGAGGAGACATAGGGACGTCATTCAAGCTGCGGCTGTTCGGACTCAGGCGTCACCGGCGATGCCGGTTTTGAAGAAGTCGAATAGCAGCAAAAGGGTGTCGTGCTTGAATCTGGACTTGAATTTGGATCTACATTTGGCACCACCGGGTTATCACCAATATGATTTGACGAAGCTGCAGTTGATTTCTTAATTTGTTACATGTTTAATTTATATTTTTCTTCCTCCGTTGGCGTTGACATACATATAGTTTTAGTTTTGATGTATATTTATTCCTACAGATAATAGTCAGATTTTTATCTTTTATTTTCTGATTCGATGTTTATATTGATGAAACTCGAAGCCAGTGAGTAGGAACTCACACGAGAACTTTCCAGTGGATCATCCATCTTAGAAATGATCTCGCTCCCAACTCACTTAACTTCGGAGGCCTTGTGCTAGGTAGAGATGAGAATATACATATAAGGCTTATAGGATTCACACACCTGGGCGATATGTTACAATCCACCCATCTTAGGGACCCAACATCCTCGTCGGCACACACGGCTAGGGATTGGCTCTGATACCAAATTGTCACATTCTGGCCCGGGCTCCCACCATATCCCGGGCTAGACTTCACCATAGCACGATATTGTTTGCTTTGGGCCCCTACCACACCCTCACAGTTTTGTTTTTGAGAACTCACACGAGAACTTCCCAGTGGGTCACCCATCCTGGGAATGCTCTCGCCCAACTCGCTTAACTTCGAAGTTCCGATGGAACCCAAAGTCAGTGAGCTCCCAAAAGGCCTCGTGCTAAGTAGAGATGAGAATATACATATAAGGCTTACAGGATCCACACCCTTGGGTGATGTGGGATGTTACAAGAACCAGCCTATAGGATGATTTATAAATTATTTTTATAATAAATCTCTATACTTGATGATAATATTAGAAAGGAATCTCAATCATTTTACGTCTCGGATTTAAGTTTCATGTTGTTAAATATATTTTTTAATGTAATTTAATGTTTCTTAATGTTATTTAATGTTGTTTAATATTGTTTAATGTTGTTTAATGTTACTTAATCTCTATTAATTAATAAAACCCTATTTGTCAACTGAAAGAGGGTGAAAAGACAAATTAGTCTTCTATCGCACAAAAAAAATGATGGGCAATAATGTAATTTCACAGGTCCAAATTTTACTTTTTTTTATTGAAACATCACCTACAGGTGATGTTAAAATACCTCCAATATTATAAAATAAAATAAAATAATAATTAAAAAACAAAAGACAAAAACCTCCCACTCCCCTCACGTTCTCTCTCTCTCCCTCTCCTTCTCATTTTTCTAAAAAATATGTTCATACATACAAAGTGTGTAAGTAAATGCTAGTTGATATTAAAAAAAAAAAAAAAAAAAAAAGACAATACTTGCATTCGGCTCTTAAGGAAATGAGCTCGCTCCCCACTCTGACATGGACCAATACAATATTGATACATGTTCATTCTTTTAAAAAGAAAAACACAAGAAAAAATAACCTGCACAAACTCGCTCAAGATCTAACGTTGTATATAAGTGCCCAAGTTTATCCGTTCATTGCAATCAATTGTATTTTGCAAGTGAAAAAAAGGCGACACCAAGCCAACAAACTCTCTATTTTGTGAGAGTTTGCATAGGAACGTTTATCATATGCAAGTTTATTTTTGTTCTGAAAATAAACTATTTCATGACTCGAACTTGTGATATTTTAATCACAAAAAAGTAAACTATATATAAGTTCATTTTATGTGAGCCTTATTAGGAATACTCCACTCTATTGAAAAATGTCCAATAATTATGATTCCACGTCATCTTATTGTTACTTTCATTCTTAATTTACCGGAATAAATTAATTAGATACTCTTCCTTAATTCTAAGATTAGCTTATTAAATATTATCCTTTCAATTAATTGTAAAAGTTTCGTCTTTTCCTTTAATTTCTCCAACCGATTTCGGAATTCCCTCCATTTTCTTTGCGAGTCTTGCTCTCCTAATGTCCACATTTTTAAAGATCCGTGAGTACCAAATGCATATTAGCCACAAAATTATATTAATTTAGATCTAAGACTTAAAATATTTGAAAACTTAGCATCTCCATTTAGGGACTTCCACCACCATTTTTGAGTACTCATTCAAAGGCTTAAAGGAAATCTTTGTGCCCCTAAAGGAATATTGCCTTCAGTGGTAGAGTCCTTATAATAGAATCCCTAACTTTGAAGCTTTTATAATTTTATGTGATAATTTGATTTTTTTTTCTGTTTATGTGAACTTTTTTTCTAATTAATTAAAATCATTAAAAATAGTAAAATCTTCAATCATGATTATGAGCCTCGTTTTCAACTTAAGGTACACATTTTTTGTTTATGTTAACCATATTTTAATTAATTAAAAGCTTTATAAGCTTCAATCAAAATTGTGAGCCCTGTTTTTTCACTCAAGGTTGTCCCTATACACTCTCTATATGTAACGACAAACACTATGTATCTGGTAAGTCCCTACACTTTAGGGACTGACTTTCCAATCCATTGAAAGTTTATTTTGTCCCTATATTTATTTTATATACTCATTTTATACGGTGATTGTCTCTATTTAAGAACTCCACTAGAGATGCTCTTAATAAAAGCAAAACAAAAAAAAATGAATTTTGTGATAGTTGATGAATTTTAAGTTTGTTTTATTTTATTAAGTTGTCAAATATTTTAATCTTTTGGAGCTAAACGTATATACTCTTGTGGCCAATATACATAGTTCCTCAAAATCAAGACCTTAGGAGAACATGACTGTTTCTTTGCTTATCTGATTCTCTTCATAAACTCCTTATCTTTTTTTTCCTTCAAAAATGTTATTTTTACCGTCTAATTGTATCATCTCTCTAATAGAGATAAGACCTATACGTGTTGACGGGCCCTACATAACTCTATAAAAGAGATGGCACAAATAGATGACAAGTATAGCACTACTCTTTTACTTACTTTTCTTCTTCGTGTCCTCCCTCTCCCCTTTTCTTTTCTAATTCTATCTCCATCTTTCTTTTCTTTTCTTAATTGGATATTCATCGTTTGTTCCTTATTATTTTCTCATAATATCTTCTCTTTCTATACGTATTTTTTCCTTCACATATCATCTTCTTCCTCATCCATATCCTCTTCCTTTCCTGGGTTTTGTTGGTTTTTCTTATTCTTTTTGTTTTTTTCTGGTGTATCAGTATGCTGCTCATAATTAAACATGGTATTATCTACCTATAACACATGGTTTTTTTTGTCTACCTCTACCACATATTTTAGTTTTTCTTTGTTTTATACCTCCTTCACAAAGAATATTTGCATAACTTACCTGTATATACATGCATGTGTCAAATTTTCTACCTGCTATATCACAGGTTCACTTTGTAATCTTCCCCCCTCTATTGAAAATCAAATTAAGTTTTCTACCTATATGGTAGGCAGATATTTGAAATTAATTTTATGAAATAAAATTTTGTGTTTGTCCAATAATGTAGCCTATATAGGTTATTATAATTTATACATGCTCTATTTTAATCTTAATATTTTGTCTTTAAAAAAAATCCTAGATAATACTTTAGTTTGAGTATTTAAATATGAAAAAAAAATTCAAATTCACAATTTGAGTAAATGATACAAAATTAAGTAATTTTAAATATTTTTATCTGAAAGAACAAAATGTTGGAGAACAATTTAGAAATAAACAAAAAATAACAGAATTAAACAGAACTTGATTTCCAATATTTTATTAACCAAATATACTTGATGTGCAGAATGAAATTATACAATAAATACATAAACTAATATAAAAATATCAATGATACTAACTTGATCACAGAAGGTAGAGGCTAGCGTAAAAGCTATGTCCTTCGAACAGTATTTTTGTCCCACTCTTGTGCTTGTAGTTCTACAATGTCTGCTCGACCAGGATACAACTACCTAATTCTACAACCCGCACTGGATTATAGAACTCTAGCGAATTGCTTTGTGTGTTTACCCTCTGGAAATTTTGTATGGAAGACAAGGAGGGAAGAAAAGATCATCCTCACTTGGATAATGTGATTGCAAATATATAGGCTGTTTCACACCCTTTCAAATACCTTGTTTAGTGTATTTGAAAGCACACAACTATCACTTGGATAATGTGATTGCAAATATATAGGCTGTTTCACACCCTTTCAAATACCTTGTTTAGTGTATTTGAAAGCACACAACTCTTTCTAATAGCTGTGTCTTTTAATCAAAACGTTTTTTAATTGATTAATTAATATTAATTGTATTTAGGCTATATTATATTCAAGCCTACTCCACACAACCATAAGGTCCAAGCCTTCAATCCATTTCCAAATAGTCCAAGTTCTGATTACTAAGAAAAGGGAATAAGCCTTTATAAAGGCTAGTGAAAAAATATTGTTGACCAATGTGGGATAAGAGGGTCTCAAACTCCAACACAAAATTGGTATCAAAATTGGATAAATAGACCCAGTCCCAAATTAAAACAACAATGTTTTTTGAACTGAATCCAAAAGCCCTCCAAAAAAAAAAAATACTGCTGCATAGGAATTATTAGTGCCAAGTTGTTCATAATCAATCTCTAGGGTTTTGATTTTGATTCCCAAATCATAAAATCTTTTTTATGACTTCGACAACTGTGAAATTCAATTTGTTGCTTCTGTGCTTCATTTCTGCACATGTATTGAGCAAAAGAGATTCGAAAATGATGGCGCTGGAGACCAGTTGATGGGAGCGTTTATTCCGTGGAATTTCGGCGTAGATTGCAGTGGTAAAGACCTGCTTGGCAATTGGCATCGAGTAACAGTTGGAGAGCAATCGTCTCATGTGGAGTGGCTGGATTAAAAAGACGTTAGAGATTGTATATTTCCTTTTAAAAGAAAGAACATGTATGGATATAGGATTGGTCCTGGTCAAAAGAGGGAACGAACTCAATTCTCTCAAGGAAGAACGAAAGTACTATCTTAAAAAAATATCAAATAAAAAGAGTTAAAATAGAAAATGAATAAGTATTGTAGTACGTGTCGGCTCTTACTCTCCTAGTCATAGGGATTGTCGGATTTGGATCCTCCTGAAGAAAACACACGGTCGTTGGATTTTAATCCAACGGTTACAAACAAGGAACTCTCTAAAATTTATAATAATTGTAACCGTTGGATCAAAATCCAACGGCCCGTGTGCTTTGCTTAGGCTCAGGAGAGAATCCAAATCCCACAATCCCTACGATTAAGAGAGTAAGAGCTGAGCTCAGGAGAGGATCCAAATCTGGAA